ATTAAATAAAATAAAAATACAATAAAAATACATCATATTTTGTCGTCTAAGTACTCAGTAACACTATAATATGCCTTAGAGATTAAAAACCTTTTTATTCTATTTTTAAAAACCTTCAAAGATTGTATATGTAGCAATTCGTTTGGCAAATGGTTGTATAATCTGGTGGAACTGTTAAACAAATAAAACGATAACATACCTCGGCTACGAGATGCCCGCCAAACGCTTAGCAGTGGGACAAGCGTAGACGGTGATAAAGCCTCCAACTCAAGGACTGAACTCACAAGTCTCACAACACAAGAAAAACTTGTTGTCACTCTTTCGAAATACACCACTTGGACACAAATTGATGAAAACAATGTTAAATTTTTAACACGTCAGCAGTTATTTTAAATGATTTCTTCGTTTCACTTATTTGCTCTCACAAAATCAACACTATTATTGTTATAACAGGTTTTATTTACGATCGTCTAACATCACGCACTCGATCAACACACCTGTGTAATACGCTAGAGTTCCGCGGTGACTGAATACGCCGCTAGACAGAGATAGCAAGATCTAGTCAGAAAGAGATATGCAGTGACGTGGGAGGGAGGACGACCGCTAGCTTCAAGAACGCACAGTGTTCCACTTTCGAGGCAAATGTTTCGAATTATTAATACGATTCGTTTCGTGACTTAGCACAAATGTTTAACCTGAATGTGGATAATGCGTGAGTTTTTCAGTAATTGCGCCTACTTTTTTCTCGCCACAAATCTGTGGTTATACAATCATTTGCCGGGTGGAGGTTTTATGTTTACATTTGCAAGCCTCGTTAATCAGCTCGTTTCATCAATTTAGTTTTGAAGCAACGCCTTTGTTTTTGATTCTGGATTTAACTGGAAATTATTATTCTTATATTAAGTATACATTTTTATATCAAAGAAGATTCTCGTAATCAAAAAATTACATTGAAGAAATCCTAAAACATAAAAAATTAATTTGCTTAAAAATAACATATTGCAAAATTAATAACTAAAAAAACATACACAGTGCAAAAAAACGCCTTTGTTTAACGCGACTAGTTTTTTGTCTATAAATTGTGCGTATCGGCCCACTGTGCCGCCGTACCTCCTGTTACCTGGCACGGGCAACCACGGCGCCCCCCACTCCGCGCCGTACGATTCAAATTTTTAACTCCACAAGCCGGTATTAACTCTATACTCTACAGCAGTGTTTTTCAATCTTTCTGATTTCGCGACCCCTTTACAAGTTGAGAAAATCTGGCGACCCCCTTGTGTCATAGAAAGACTAAGAACTAATAAAATTTAATTAAGACTACATACGTTAATGATTTTTTTTCTACTATTTTGGTACCTTTATCAATTATTCAGGTCTACTCTGCAAGAAGCTGCGAGAGTATTGAAAGTAAGTACGAGGTAAGTTGTTAAAGCTACGCGCGATATAACTCGTTGAGTACCGTTCGACCGGTGGTATCACCCAGGCCTGCACAATTGCGGCTTCCAGGAAAACCTCCCGGTCCAGCTGTCTCAGCGCCCAACGTGGATCATATGAGGCCTGTCTGACCGGCAGGTCCGCGGACTCGGTGGTGACGTTTTTCTTTCAGTCGGCGACCCCCCGAGTAAGGCTTCGCGACCCCCCTAGGGGTCGCGACCCACAGTTTGAAAAACACTGCTCTACAGAGTTAAAACTAAACGAAACAGCCTCTAATAGTCTACTGTTCTAGATTAATTTCACAATGAACATTTTCTTAACCACTGCAGTGTACGATATAAACGAAATTGTCAAATGACTTAACATGGATTTCGCAAACTTGCCATAGTTTATAGCCGTGTTGATTTCGGATTGAATGCAACAGGTTGCATCGGTTTCGCGTCAACAGAACGCTAGAAATAGGGATAAACTAACTAAACAGTTATTTTTGAAACATTTTCGGGTATCTAAATACCTAATTTAGGTAGGTAAAGGCTAACGGCTAACTGTGGAAAGGCTAAATACTTAAAATCATAATTGAAAGTTAGTATTTATTATACTTAAATTGCCTAACCAGGTTTTATTAAAAATGAAATATGCTACTACTAATTCTTTTCTATAGTATAATCTTACCAGATCCCCAAAAGATGTTGCATGGTATTTTTTTAAACAATATACAAATAATAAATTCCAGGGCCAGCTCAGAAATGGTGCAAAAACATGAGCAAAGTATTGTTGACTATATTAATTATTTTGCTATTTGTAATGTTGTGTAATGATATTATATTTAGGTGCTTAGTTGAAGAAAATGAATAATGAACCCTGTTTAGTAATTAGAGCCAAAGTGACCAATGGAGTGAGGTTGCCATTACAAAACACCAGGGGCAGTGTTTAATGAACCTTCCAATAACTACTTAGTAATAATATAGGTGCATTTAACAGAAAATAAGTACTATAATTCTCCAAATTACTTAATTAATTCTTAGGTAACTTTGACTACAGTTTTTAACCTAGTCTACCTAGTACCTTTGTATATGGAATAGAAGGCAAACGAGCAGACGGATCACCTGATGGTAAGCGATCAGCGCCGCCCATGAACACCCAGAACACCAGAGGAGTCACAGGTGTGTTGCCGGCCTGTTATAAAGCCAATGCCTAAGACGTTTTACCTACATTAAGCTGTATCAGACAATTCACACGTGTTATTTATGTATTATTGTTAAACTTTAAATATATTTCCCACATAAATAAATATGTCCCAATAGCTAAATCATTCTGTTCAACGATAATCAATGAGCTGTCCAAAATTAAATATCTCTACTGACTGAATCTATGTAGCAATGTAACAATTGATTTAGCTCAGTGGTGACATCTATACTAAATGTGTGAAAACAAAAGTTATATTTAGAGAGACCATTTTTAAGTGTCTATTCATTATTGACAAAAGATCTAATCGGTCAAACTCTTTCAAATGCTTTCCTGTGCTTTGTTCTATGTATGGAAAGGAACAAAGTAATTTTTAACAGTAAGAGGTCATTAATATGCATTTGTTGGTTAAGTATTTACCTATTTAGGTACCTTTCTATTGAAAGCAACATAAATGGGTATCGTCATTCCTTTAGTCACAGTAACTTGCTAACTTAAAACATTCGGTGGTTGGCCTTATCCAGTAACCTTACTGTAAATTAGGATTTTTTAATGGAATGGGAGGCAAACGAGCAGACGGATCACCTGATGGTAAGCGATCAGCGCCGCCCATGGACACTCGCAACACAAGAGGAGTCACAGGTGCGTTGCCGGCCTTTTAAAAAGGAGCACGCTCTTTTCTTGAAGGAATTTGGAAACAGGTAATTAATCTCGATGATTAACACCTCACACATTCTCCTACATTCTCGCCCATTTGGTCGAGATTATTCTCAATCAATGACACGGTGGACTGCTATCGGGCTCACTTCGAGAGTTCGAATTGATTTCTAATACCTGGCGGCTATTTTTTTAGAGATCAATTCGAACTCTGATATAGATGGCTGGATGGGATGGTGAGATTCTCATCATCTTTAACCGAATCTAGAAATATCTGATTAACCTGACAAGGCTGATTCTATTCCATTTAATCTGAAATGGTCGGAAGTAAAAGACCCAGGCTTCAAAGAACAAGCTGTTCATCTCTGTCGTTATGGGAGTCACTACTGCTGCTATTGAGAAGGTGCTACCAACAGAAGCCCGTATGATCAGAGTGGTGCCAAAGACGCTTGCATCTACTTTAGTCTAAAACAACAACTGCAATATGTTTAACTGATTGCCAAAGTTGTTCTTTGTACGAATGGTATCGATCGACACATTACTTATTCAAAATATGCGGAGTGACAAAAGGACAAGAAAAACAGCATTGAAATATTCAGTATTTCACCATCAGCTGTTCTTTCCCCGGTTCAATCAACAAGTGTCTATCTCTTATAAAACCAACTATGGCATCCATCTTGTTTACTTGGGAAATGTCAAACTTCTTTTTCATTATTTACAGATTGCAGAATTCCACATCCTCAAGGAAATAAAGGGAATATTAATCTTAATTATTAAGTTTTCATCTTACCACGTAACTGTTTGACGAGGAACTCGACTAGTTTCAAGCCATGCTAAAGGCTCATATGCGTGAGCAGCATTAGTGAAACTTGTACATGAGTGTGACTGCAGAATTGCTACCTACATAGACATACTAGCTAGCAGTTAGCAGTAGATTGAGATGCGCGCGCAAAAATTCTAGTCTGACCACTGAACACATGATACCCTTTCTTTAGTTGTTACGACATTCTCCAGCATCTAGGACACGCTGTTTTAATGTTTAAATCTTGGTTTAGATTCTATAGTTTTCGTGGAGATGGTTTTAATTAGATGTTAGTTTTTATACCAATGACTATAATTTATGGTCCAATGTGATTAACGGTCTATAATCTCTAATTAGGTACGATCTGTCATATTCTGTCAAATGTATAATTATTATAATAAACATGTACAGATTTTAGGTTACCGGCAAACATAATAGACCTGGCTCCATCTTACAGAATGGTTCAATAGAAAAGTGCACGTTTTGCAATAGTACAAAACTTAGTTTTGTACACAAGAGTAAAGATGTATAAAATATTCTAACCACGATAACATGATGTTTCGAATGCAGTTCAGCATTGCGAATGGATTTGCGCGCGCCAGCAAAGGAATACCCAGTAAAGAAGTAACTGTACAATCTGTACATAGCTAGGCTACAGGCCAGAGAAAATATACGATCAGATTTATGCCACCTAACTTTGAATGGCCAATAAAATACGACGCCCGTCGCTTAATTATTCCATTGAAGTCAATTGTCAGTTGAACGGTGTAGGGGAGAACCGAACAGTTGAGTTTGAATAACAGCTGATAGAAGTCGCTTGCGCATGATATCAACGTATTTCTCTACATATAGAAGTGGTTTACTGATAGTGTAGTGACCTGTTTGAATCCGAAACAAGGACAGTCGCAGTTTAACAGTAAGTGCCTGTGGTTCTTGTCAAAATCCTTATTGCATGGCCAAGTAAATGTATTAGTTATTGGAAAGAATTTGTCAATTTAGAACTTTGTTATAGTGCGAATAAGTTTCAGTTTCAGTGTGTTTCAGTGTATTTTTTTCGTATAATGGTAAATCATGTTTAAAGAACGGAATCGATTTGATATGGTGTTTTAAAATTTTAATTTCTGTTGTTTCGTCGCTATTTCCTTTTTACATAACATTTTGATAGTGTTGATACCTGTTTAGGTATGTACCTAGTTCTATTATTGCTTTCCTGTCGATAAGAGCGAATTTAATTTTAAGCCGTAAATAATGTTTCTTCTTGGTTGAAATAATTTTATGTTCAATAATATCGATAACACGAGCGGGATTGGTATGTGCGAATGTGGGAAAATAGGTAGATAAAAGTAGGTTACCATTCGATATGTTTATTTACGTATTTAATCTAAGTAAATAAAGAGTAGATACTTACTGCAAAGAAATTGATTGTGACTTTTTTTGTAGCCATTATCGAAAATTACCTAGAGACTTTTTTCTTATATAACATATTTACTTCAAACTTAGATTTTACATAATATCACGCCTTTTATGCCTGAAGGGGTCCGTAGATGTGCACATTACGGCACTTAATGCCACTGTACCTACAATGGAACACCCACTTTTCACTATTCTTGTTATGAGTCCCATGTAATAGGGCATTTACAGACTTCGTTATTTACGGCTACTACTGCGAACTTCTTAAAAAAACAGTAATACTTTGCCCGACCCGAGAATCGAACACAAGACCCCTTGCCCCGAGACTACTCGGCCAACGAGGCACTCTTGCTTAGATTTAACGTAGCTAACGTACCAATGTCTTTGTTTCATTTTAATAGATGCAATATGACTAATTCTATTTCATTATAAATGAGTTACATTTAATATTGATATTATGTCGCGGAGAACCTAACGGGTAACCGGGGCTCCGACTCGACGTGCAGGAGAAGGAACGGGGTGGTTTTTAGTCAATAAGAGTCTGACACTCCCTCCCGCCTCACCCAGGTGGGAGCAGTCATTCGATGATTTTCCCCCCTTAAAAAAAATAAATAAAAAAAATATTGATATTATACCTTCACAAAACTATAAGTTCCCATGTATAAAGATAGAGTACCAAGTCTGTAGGTAGGTACACTTTTGTATCGAGGACAGCATAGAACATCCTCGTTACCCATTCGACTCACCTTCAGATATGAACCTAGATTCAATAAACAAGATACAAATAGCAACATAATTATAGAAGCATTTTTCACTTTTTGGGCATCGCAGGTAGAGAAAAAGCAAAAAATGTTGCTGAATATTATAAATCCGAGAGAATGTGTGTACCTTTGTCACCCATCGACGTAAAAACGGCTGAAGAGATCGGAATGAAAATTGGAACAGGGATAGGTTATAGTCTGGAAGGGCGCAAGCTACTTTTTTAACACGAGGCGAAGCCGCGGGCGATTGAAAAACACGTACTAGTACGTCATAATGGTCAATTCAAAGTCTTAATACCGAAAACAACTTATGAGGTCTCTGATCTCAGGTTAAAAAACGCAAGTAGGTCACCTATCAAGTTTTTGGAACCTAATAATACTTATGTAGTTTTGCTTTAAACTTGTTATGGGTCTAGACCTTTTGTTGTTTTACTTTTATTATGAGGTGTGTTCATGTTAGTGGCTTATAAATAAATAATGAGTTTGTAATGATAGTGATGTCAAATAATGGGTTGCAATGGAAATTGTATGCGTAATTATGCAGCTTAGTAAAATGTTGCGTTCGGTGCAATGGTTTAAAGTGCAGTTGATCACGATTCTAGTTAACTGGGAATTTATTTTTTAAACCAAACCATCAATCCTTTTAAGGCCGGTAACACACTTGTAACTGCTCTGGCGGACACCCGATAGGGATGTCGATGGGCGGTGGCGATTGCATAGGCACCATCAGTTGATTCGTCCGCTCGTTTGCTGTATCCCATAAAAAACTAGCTTTAGGATACCAGTAATTAAAAAGATTTTTCTAAATTACGTCCCTAATGTCTCTGTCCTGTCCTGTCCAGTGTCCTTAGGACTTAGTACGAGTTTGTTTTAGGTTAGAAGTAATCGAAACGATACTGCGTTCAGTGCTCCGATAGGTTATCTCATTGGGGCCGGCCAATCAGAGCGCCGGACGCGGTCTCGTTACTATTACCTACTTTTTAAACGTCCCGCCTCTGCATATCATAATAAAATTAGATCTGTTCAAATTGTTGATAGTAAATAATCAGGTAAGGACTGAAATAAGTAAATACACTGAATAAATTTTCTTATTTTTCGACAGGGCCTTCATAATTTCGGAGGGTAACAATGTTTAGCACTTTGCATCGTCTATTCGAGCAATCTCTCAGAAAGCGCCCTCTGTTGACGAACTATGTAGTTTACGCTTCCTTCTACACGGCTGCGGAGTTCACACAGCAGACTGTTAACAAATATTACTTGGTAAGTAAAGGTAAATAAATATAAATGATAAAGAAATCAATAAAATAATGTTACTAAGATTTCATCAATTTCGATATTTTTTACATAATTCCTCCTATTCTGTTATCGTAATAGTAGAAAAAAAAGTTTTTAAATCCTACATGTGTGTAAATTGTTATAAAAATCGCAAAAGTACGTTTGGGAAAAGAAATACAGAGAAATAAAATGTCAAAAAGTATATGGCAGCGGTGGGATTCGAACCCACGCCTCCGAAGAGACTGGTGCCTTAAACCAGCGCCTTAGACCGCTCGGCCACGCTACCGTTGAGACGAGTGTGCGTATTTGTTACTCACTATCTCTGTGTAATGACGTCATAACATACAATGTTTACATTTCAAAATCAACTTAATTATCATAGTAGACTTTACCCTGTACATTATTAAGTACAATATTGTTTGAGGGTATTGTTTCTATGTATTTTTAGACAAAATGTCTATATGAGTCCATTATAACTAAGTGCTATATGCATAGTAAGCAGTCGCTAGTCGTGTGTAGCTAATAATATAATGTCTATTAATATAATTATATTCATGTGAATATGATAATACAATGCATGCAACGTTAGGAAAGGTTATGGTGATATTTTAAAACAAATGAGATTCATTGCTGGTTACCTACTGACATATAACAGTCAAATCAAAGCTGGTCGTAGAACACTGAAATGCGGAAAAGATATTTTATGACGGAGATAGAAGATAATTTATCGAAATTCCACCAGGTAAAGTTATTTTATGGAATAGGTAGTAGGCAAACGAGCAGACGGATCACCTGATGGTAAGCGATCAGCGCCCCTATGAACACCCGCAACACCAGAGGAGTCACAGGTGCGTTGCCGGCTTTTTTAAAGGAAAGTGAGTTTATATGAGTTTTATTAACGCACAGAAGCTTAGTCATGCTTTAACTTTACAATAAGTTATTGTCTTATTTTGCAGCCAACTAAACCAGACTACAATCTTGCGTCCGGAGCTCGTGTGGTCATGGTGGGCAGCACACTATACGCACCCAGCTTATATTTTTGGTAAGTTAAGCAACTATTTGCAACTACGTTATACCTGATATACCTGTCGCGGAGAACCTAACGGGTAACCGGGGCTCCGGCTTGACGTGCAGGAGAAGGAACGGGGTGGTTTTTAGTCAGTAAGAGTCTGACACTCCCTCCCGCCTCACCCAGGCGGGAGCAGTCATTCGATGATTTTCCCACCTTAAAAAAAAATACCTGATATACCTGCGTTCCTATTATATCTACATATCTATGATAACATATGCACCTATCCAACTACATTGTTAATTTATTTTCTAAATATTTTTTTCAAGAGAACGTCCGCATCTTATAAAAAAGTGGGTGGTTATTAAGAGGATTGGTTCAGCCGTTCTTCAGTTTCCTTTCCTGTGCTTGTGGAAAGAATAGAGTAGATGCCTAATTTTGATTTTAATGTCCGTGTGGCACTTCGATTATTTTAAACCATTAGACACGTATTTTTTATTTTCTTACAGATTTCTTTCGACGATATATTGATTTGAAATGTCGCGTGACGTCACTTCTATGTACATTTTATACGTAGAAATGACGTTTTAGCCCCCACTCCTAAACTTAGATTTGTTTTATCTAAGTATTGTTTTATTATACGACAAAATAAAAAAAATACATGTCTAATATTTTTTCATTTACCTAACTGACGGAGTAATTAGACTTTTAATTTTCATACCCTGTCATCATCCCAATTGTTGGATTTGGCAATCGTATCTGCAATCTTACAGTGTGGGAGAGCCACGCTTCGGCACGAATGGGTCGGCTCGACCGGAGTGAAACCACGGCCTCACAGAAAATCGACGCGAGTGAGGTTACCAGAGGCCCAATTACCCCCCTCTACAATCTCCCCAATCCTCGAATCCCCAACAATCCTAAAATTTTTAACCCCAAAAGACCAACGATGCTCTTGTAGTGTTCTAGCTAGTGTTTGGATGGGCGACGCCAATTGCTTCCCATCAGGTGATCCGTCAGAACGTTTGCCAGTTTATTCCATAAAAAAATATAGCGTAGGAGCCAGTTCCCTAACACTTAATTAATTGTTTTTTTCAGGTACAAGTTCCTGGACAAGAAGTTTGTTGGTAGAGCTGTAAAGACGGTGTTCACCAAAGTGGCCTGTGACCAGTTCATTATGACACCATTTTTACTGGCCTGCTTCTTTACAAGTAAGTCCTTTTTTCAAAAGTACCTATATCAAGGTACTCAGTCAATTTACAACCTACTGGTAGTGGTAATTAGGTCTTGCAGATCCCAGTATTAGAATAAGAATAAGAACGTTTATTTGCACGAAGTATGGTAATTACAGGTAGTAATAATTATAAAAAATAGTCCCACATACATCGCCTACTGTTTTCGGCATGCAAAGTTAAGTTTTACAATATAATAAAGTTAAAATCTTACATTCAATAAAACCAATTACAAAAATGCTTACAACTAGGATAACATAATTATTCCCTAGACCATATATATTGTACCCTAGACCTCGAACTCGGTACAGCGACAATTCGAACTTTACCTACATACACACCCGTAATTTGTTGTAGGCTGACTTATATAGTTGTGTGGAATATTTTCACAGTACTGAAAAGAATCTACCTATTATAAGGGTTGATTTTGTATGAAAAGAAATCTAATGCGGTTTACGTAGGTAATAAAAACCATCATAGACCGTGTCACAAAAATACATAGAAGAATAGAAAAACCTTTCGTGATACAAAAGGCTATATTCGTAAGGTTATTTTAATTTTATCGTAAGGAATGTATCGGGTGTACCTATTTAATGTAAGTCGGCCTTCAAATAACGACGATTAAATTTAAAGTTCATCGCTCTCACCTTTTCTCTGATAAATATAATTTTCAACTCGATTTGGGAAAATACACTTGGGAGCAAAAAACGGACTTTTTTTCTCTTGATAAATACTTTCGGGCACAAGTATTTTATTAATTCGTAACGTACCTATGTCGTAAAAGGCAATTTAGTTACCTTTAAAATAAAATGAGAGCATTTTGGTCAATTTTTACTAACCCTTTAACCGCCGACAACGTAATATTACGGTTTTCGAAAGCTGTGTCCGAATCGCCACATACGTACAATCACGTTATTTTATTAAAAATCTTCTTATAGTGCACAAACTCCATATAAAATGTGTCAATTTCAAGATGTAGGGTATAATCTTTATTGTTATAGATATTTCTCAATGTTTAGAGTGATAAATACTGTGAAATTTGAGGTTTAATTAAATTGTGGTCACCGTCTCCATTATCCGTATCGCCAATCACGTAATTTTACGAGTACTAGGGATGGGGCGAATTCGAAAAATACTTAATAGGTTGTCTAAGAACAAACAAGGCACTATAGATATTACTGTCACTATTTGCAATGAAAGTGTATACTTTCATTAGAAAATAACCATAGTGTTACTTTGATGCAAGTATTTGTACTAATTAAAATGTATTTAAGTTTAAAATTATTTAATATTTATAACAATAATATAAAAATTTCATAACGCAGAACCGCACTAGTGCGGACAATCGCCGGTCGCCATCACCGTAATATTACGTGCGGCCAAGGAGATTAAAGCGCTGTATTGTGAGTTGCCTTAGCGCCGTCACCGTAAAATCACGCTAAACATTTATCACTCAATGCACCTAGTGTTGTAAACCCTTTTTTGGGTTTTTGTTATTTCTCAAATAAATCAACACAGTCAAAACCAAATGTGTCCATTATGCAAAGTTAGAAGATGGTGACGCAAAGTTTTTGATCAGAGGCCAAGTGATCCACGAAATGAATCCACTTTGCATCTTTAAAACCTTTTGAGCTGGAAACCGTACGGTCGGAAATCCGCTCAGAAGTTTACATGAAAGTATTAAATTAAATACGACATGCTCGTGGAGCATCGTCACCGTCGCCAGCAGGAGAACGGACGACGCCGTGCCCATTTCCCGAATACACATTTTCGTATACTTCGTTTGAAGATTGAAAATTTTTGGATTATTTATTAAGTAGGTAAATAAAACATTGATTTTAATTTTTTAATGATTAAAGAATATATGCATCGATATTAAGTTTTTCCAACACTGTTCCAACTTATACCTAAAGTGACGTGGCGCTGGAGGTAAGTTGAAAGTTCAGAATCTTGGCGGTTAAAGGGTTAAGGAATAATTTTCAATATTTGACAATTCTTCCATACACTAATTCTTTATTACAATAAAAACTGTCAACTATCAACTTTAAGTATTCTACAGTTAGATTGAACTGATTATTTAAAAATCGGCCGTTAGGCACAAGTTCCATATCTGATATTAGTCCCATGTCACACTGACACTCCGTCTCTCCACAATAAGAGACTTTCAGGCGATTTTATAGTAAATTGAAAAACTTTACCCAACTCGAAGAGTAAAGTATTTAGGCAATATCCTAATCTTGCTAAAAATAATTGAAGTAGGTATCATTAGGATGAATAGAGTAGTAAGTGAAATACGTACCTAATTAACTTTACATAACATAACATAACAGCACGCCTTTTATCCCCGAAGGGGTAGGTAGAGGTGCACATTATATGCCACGGTACAATGTAAAACCAAGTTTTCACTATTTATGTTATGGGTCCCATGTAATAGAGGGTGAACCTATTGTATACTGGGCACAATTCCTATACTTTGCTCGACCCGGGCATCGAACCCGAGACCCTTTGTCCAAGTCGCACTTGCGTCCACTCGGCCAACGAGGCAGTCTAATTAACATTCTCCTTTAATATTTCAGTTCTAAGCGTTTTGGAGGGCCAGCAAGATATATTCGCAGAACTACGACACAAGTACGTAAAGACGTTAATGGCAAATCAAGTGTTCTGGCTTCCAGTGCAGTCCATTAACTTCTCCTTCATACCGTCACATCTTCGAGTGACATACGTGGCTTCAGCTTCGTTCATCTGGATCAATGTGCTGTGTTACATCAAACGACAGCAGATCAGTGGCAATCCAAAGATTGAAGCATCAAAGTAAAATTCGATTTAGATAATGTAGACTTATAAAGTGTGCAGCAAAGTTCATTTTTGCTCGATAGCAATTCATCTGAGGGCAGATACAATTTTCCGACACCCTGACAAACTGAGGAATCCATTTTCACGTCACCATTATTCAATTTCGAAGTTAAGCATCAAGAATAAAAAAACAATAAAAAAATTAAGTTGCCATCAGCAATGTCAACGTGTACCTACCCGTAGATGTGTTGGTGTCCTTTGTCAAAGATTATACAAATGAGCTGCTGTTAACAAATTACCTAATGTGCCAATCTATACAAATATTGTAAGTAAATAATTTTACTATAGTACCTAATCTTGTGTGTAATAATGGTTACATGTTTACATAATTACATTAGTAGGCATCTGACCTACTTTTACACCAATTTTTATAATAAAAGTGTTAGTGTACAAAGAAATAAAATCATTTTTCTATCAAAAGCTTGTTTAATATCTATTTAAATTAAGTAATTAAACATATAAATGTCGAAATCGAAAAATGTTTAACTTTTCCAATTCACTGCACCGGGCACAAGCTCCTCAATGATCGCTTTCAGACGCATATTCTCAAGAAATAAAAGGTTGCATCTGCGGATCTGTAATATATACAAAAAACAAAGACAACATTACGTTTGATATTCCTTCAACAAAGCAGAAGAAGCATTCAACTGGGAACTTTTTTTTTCTTTGGCAACCGATTTTCCAATACTTTGTTGTCGACTATACTGCCAGTGTCGAGTGAATTGGGTACTTGCCAACCAGTCAAATTCAATGTTTTTTTCAAACTGTCTAAAACGACAGTTTTGTATGAATGAGATTGTGTATTGTGACGTCACGTTTTTTAGCGTCAAACAGCATACTTATTTCTTAAAAATTTGCGGGAAAAATGATAGGATAGGTTAGCCATAAAATCGATTAATGAAAGTGTGATTATCTTTTTAAATATTTTATTGTATTGAACAGTCGAAATAAGTTATTTTTGATTAAGGAAAGTAGGTACCCAATGTGCATTTAATTTGCCGAATAACGGACACATTTCCAGACTCTATACTACTCTTACAGGAAATTAACTAACCGGAAATTCAAAATAGTACCACGTTAAGGGTGAAAAACGAGTTGACACCCATCCACTGCTGAACATATGACTCTCACGTGAGAGAGATTTGCCATAATAAGCCCACGCTTGGTGGGTTATCGAAAGTTTGGAGGATGCTGGCTCCGTGCAAAATCGGTTCAAACATCAGACTATCTAATAACCTATAACTACTAGTACTAAAGTAGGTACACTTGGGAGCAAAAAACGAGCCAGTAGCGATTTTTCGTTTTAATTTCTTGATAAATATAAGTATTTTAGTAATTGGTAACATAATTATGTCGTATAAAGAGCAATTTAGTTACATTTGAAATGAGAGTAAAAGGATTTTTTAAGTTATAGAGGTTTCGATAAAATTAAAAAGAAAAGACGTTAGTGGGTTCGTTTCTTTGCTCACAAGTGTAGTAGGACTTAAAACAACACCAGCGCCTCTAGCGGTGCAATACTCACGGTTTGCCTACTTACTTCATAAAGTAGAAGTGCAGCATCAGCGTCGTGTTCATTGGCCATGCAGTATTCTAGTCTTGCGTCGAACTTCATTCGCGCTCGAGTTGTGGCTTCCATCATGTCATGAAGAGACTGCTTCATGGCTGCTAACTGCTCTTTGTACCAGTTTTTCTGTTAGTACAGAATAATTAGACTTGCTGTATTGGTAAGGGTTTTTTGAATGAGGGAAAGTATTATTGAATTGTTTAATTTTCACAAATGTGAGTAAGGTAGTTCAGTTCTAAATGTGACAAATCGGCCATGTATGGGAGAAAAATTGCCATAGAGGCATTGAGCTCAAAAAATAAATGGCAAAAATTTTCTGCCCAACTCTTTGAGATCGAAATAATCTGTTGTGTTTATTTATGGAGTATAAATAAATGTACATACTTTCTCTTTACATTTGTTCTTGAGTGCAATGTATTTTTCTCCGACAGCTATGAGTGTTTTGTGCGCATGCGTGAGATGCGCCTGCGTTGAGGTCGCGCGTTCTCGCCATTGGTCCAGGCGTTTGTCACACAAACCGACAGCGTTGCATTGGTCTTCATAAGCTTGGACCAGGATTTGGTAGCGTTTTGCTAGCTCTTCGTATCTGAAACAGGTACGAAGACAAGTATTACTATTAGGTAGATTCTAGTAGATTCTAAATGGATTATCAGGCGAGAATGTCTGAAGATGTATACAGAGGCCTTAGTACGAGTTTGATTTACGTCTAATTAAAGTATTCGAAACGAGTACGCTTCGGCACTCTGATTGGCCGGCGCCAATGAAGCAACCAATCAGAGCGCCGAACGCGTACTTGTTACGATTACTTTAAATGTAAGATCTGGTGAATGCGCCCCTCGCATGCCTGTAATAAACTGCCAGATAACGTTAAAATATAAAAAATTGGGTAAGGTTGATATAGGTACTAGGGAAACCTAAACCTCAGGGCCCACACAAAGCTGGCAACGAACTTGGATGTCCATGGAAGGCGCTGACCACTCCCTACCTAATCCTATAAGGTGATCCGTTTGTACCTATATAAAAAAATGTTGTTTGAATACGTACTGGTACTGCAGGCACACTATACTCATGGTAGACCAGGTGTCTGTGTAGTCTTCATTGCTTTCACTTGATTTACTGTTGCTTGTGGCTGGCAGGAAATAGGAATAATTATTTAGCATTACGTAGACATTTTATTTAACAGATGCAGTCAAGGGTGCAATCAGCAGAGTTTGGTATTGGCCAATTTGGTATAAAGGCAAGAAAGCAGATCGATTTATTATAGAGACCATACTATCATTACAAAAGATATGGTTTAGTCCTCATTTCGGAGACCGAACTGATATCAGCAGTTTGGGGACCTGCGAGGCTACTTAGTAAGATGACAATTCGAAATCTCGAAGTGAGCTCGATTTCATTCTCGCCCGTCATTGGTCGAAATTATTCTTAACTACAACCAATGACATAACAGACCGCGATCGAGTTCGATTCGAACTTTTGATTTGAAAGTTACAGTAGGTATCTAATTATCTTAGCTGTACATTTCAATACAAAGATTCTTCTGTATAATACCGCAATAGCAAAGATTTTTAAAACTTACTGGTAGTATTACACTTGAAACTCTTCTCCTCTGAGTGATCACTGTCCCACCAATCATTGACTCCGTGGGAATGCGAGTGAGACCCTCTACACTGTAACAACTTCTGTTCATACTCTTTGGACTTCCCGATACTTCTTTCTAAAGAGCCGAGAGTGTTGCGAACGTTTTGGACGCTGTTTATGAAGTTCTTGTGGTCACTGTTCGGCTGTTAACATAAAATACTCATTACGAACTACCTTTTGGCCGTGTTCCCGTGGGTTTAAATTAGCCTTTCTAAGCCCACACCTTAAGTTATGCTTGATACAAATTTACTTTTGAGGGGATTGATAAACAAATATAAACACACAAACTTTCGCATTTATAATATTAACAAGAGTAAGATTTCATGTCGGAATGGGAGGCAAACGAGCCGACGGATCACCTGATGGTAAGCAATCGGCGGCGCCCATGGATACCCGAAATGCAGAGTTAATTTTGAATGTAATTGTAATAAAAGTAAAAAAAGTAACGAGTTATAAAACAATTATCCCACTTGCCTAAAAAGTGTTTCATATAAAAACTTACCCCAAAATTGTTAATAGTAACACATTTCAAATTCCTTGGAGAAAATAAATCGTTGCATATCTTAACGCCCTGCATTATAACAATTACGTACCTATAGAATGTAAAAAACCACGAAAAATAGTAAAAAAATATGTCACAATAATCAGATCAACGTTGTCATTATAAAAACATTGTCAGTTGAATTAAAAAAACATTAACTTGTTAATTATCTTTGGTAGTCATGGAGTAGGATTACAAAGAGTAGTTTTTGTCAATGGTACAGATTATCAAAGCCTCGAGCAAAGCACCTCCAATAAGAGCTTCGTGAAAACAGTGTATCAAACTCATAGTTAACAGGTGATAAATAAAAATAGTGTATAATTCATCAGATGGTTTATTCAACTACAACAAAAAGCATAACGTTTTAATAACTAAATCAGTCTAAAAATATTCTCCTGCGATAAAACTACAACGACTCAAATATTTCATCTAAAAGGTTAAAATATATAACTACGGTTTGTGCATTTATTGCTTATTGCATACGTTAATATTGCCTTTACGAATCAACTCGTTTTGTACTTGCACGATTGCAGTAATAAATAACATTCTCTTCACAACAGCAAACAGATTAAAATATTATAATTAAAAGTTAAAATAAACTTTCAATCAACATTACTGCACTAAAATATACAAAACAAGTAAAACTGTAAAGTTATTTATTGTATTCGTAAACGAAGGTCTATGACAAACATTCTTTTAAATTTCTATGTACAGAAGAAATAAAACCAATATTCCAAAGATTCTATACGAGTAACATGATTATATTTTATATTGCTAGATATTTATAAGTAGCAGAATTATTTAAACTGGCTACAATTTGTTACAAATTAAACTTTATGTACTTTTATGAAAAGATACACCCACAATCGTTAGTATGGGCGATATCAAGCTTGACTGTAAAAAAATGTGTTTTTAAAATGTAACAACCCTTAGCCAGACTAGATTACATTGTTATGGAAGACATTGTTCAGCCTCGAGCATCAGAAGCTTTGATATAACACAAATAAACATTGAAAACAATCGATTTAACATTATACAATAACAACAGTAACATTTTTGATTAAAAATCTATTTTTCACATAAATCTTTCGAGTAGTAACTTATCGAATATTTCGAACAGGAACTTTAGGTAACAATACAATAAAAAATAGGTAAAAACTTGAGTGGATACTTAATTTTGTGATGATACAATTCGAGGTGACAAGAGATTAATTCATGTTTACGTTGGATTCGCGATCTATGCCTGAATAATAAGGTATCAACTATGCAAGTTGACTTTTAATAAAATAAAATCTATTGTATTATACAGTATACACATAAAAAAGAAACTATAAAGGTGCATAGCAACTGCTATTAACTTGTGTATGTACATAATTACAAAATGTATAAAAAATATAACATAACGTTACGCTTTTAAATTCTCGACGGGGTTGGCGGCATAGGCGAATAAATATACAATGTAACCCACTTTATTAGTTACGTTATGTACATGTACTAGGGGTGAGCCTATTAGCACTGGGTATAATTCTAGACAAAGCTGAGAAATTGCCAAAACGTCGAAAAATTACAATAGTATTTCGCCCGACCCAAGATTATTTCTAGCTCAGTAGTCACACTTGGGACCACTTGGCAAACGAGGAAGACCGAAATAAATACGAAATATCCCAATGAGACCTCATGGACTAGCTACCTCGACTATATAGCTGCGCGAAAATAGTGAAACATGTATGACATTAATACTCGTACACGATTTGGTTATAAGTAATGCGAAACCTTTACATATTTACAATTTAACAATATTCCTTCTGTCACATAACAATGTATAATACTGTTTACACTATTGCTGTATTTAGGCACTTCAAAGTATTGGTTGCAATATGCAATTATTGCAAAAAGGCATTAATATGTATAGCTATGTAAAATAGCTGCAAAAAAGTAATGTCACATTTAGCAACATTAGAATTGTGATATAGATACGGTAGAACAATGCTACTTAAAAATTCACAGTAAATAATTTGGCTCATAATGTACATTATTTTGGCAAAAATATGATTTCTCTCTGTGGTACATCTAACAGGAAAGATATTCTTTGGTATACTGTCGATCCGAATTCGATATAATTCATTTCCATCAATCAAATACTAGAACATTCACACAACATAACAATCTTAAAGAATATTGGTTCACAGTAACAATGCAAAAGAAATTGAGCTTTTGGAAAATTTTTACTTATGATATGACATAACTACTGAGATCCACAATCAACTGTAGATTACTTAACTTTTTTTTATAATTTCACATCACTATCTGTTTGATAAGATAAAATTGTTTACTTTTCATAATTATTGTAGTCATGCTTTTAGATTGGACAGTTTCTAAAAGCATGTCCCATAATTTAAATTATTATTTCTTACTTAAAAAAACCAAGGCTTTATAGAGCCAAGGCTTAGTTAAAAAACAGAACCTATAGATCCTTTAATTGAGAACTGCATTCAGATCTAATTGATGTTTCAACCTTGACAGGGTGACCTTAGTTTTTCTACCTGTCAGTTAACACTAGAAAAAACAGGATAAATACAGACTCTACTCGTCCATAATATTGAAACCAGTTTTTAAATTAGGTGCACAGCAAAATGGCTGCTTCCTTTGTAAATAAGGTCTGGTTTAAATAAAAATTTAGTAAACTACAGATGATTGTGACTTATGCTACCGCCAACTTTTATGTTTCATCATCTTTGTATCAGACATTGCTACCTCAAAGAGAGTTGGTGATGTTCTGGAAGAGTCGCTTGCCCCACCAGGTCTCCAGGTCAAAGGGTTTGAAGTCTCTGAGCATGGGGCTGGGGGCATCATCCTGATAGTACAGGTTGGATGGAGGTGCGGGCGACGAGCTGCCGGATTCTGGAACAATTTATGGAAATGGTGCGTAACTAGGAGGAAATCCTAGCAGGGATAATAATAGGCCGATGGCATGTAATGATAGTCTCAGAACCTATTTATTGCAGTCTTCTCTATACTATAGTCAGTGTGTTAAAGCTTCTTCTAATGATTATCAGTTTGCCTAAATAGCTAAGATTCTTATAGGCATTAGGCAAAATTCTAAAGCCAAGTTGCAACACCGAATACTGTATGACAGTACCATTATTTACTTCATGGTATGTTGAAATTACAATATTTTTCTTTAAAATATTAAATTTTTACGAAATAGGTAATATTCACAGAGACATCAAACATTAGAAATTTTTTTAAGTAACACCGACCATAGTGCTAAACAATGATGAAATCTTCATACATTTTAGAGGCCATTGCTATTAAAATAAGTACTTTGAACACTACAATAGGTGATAAAGAATAATTCAAAGGTTATACGGAAAAAATAACTTTCCATACTGGGTAATTGTATTTGCAAATCATTATTATATCATGTGATTAGATAAATCTATAAACAGCGTCCGATAATGTTTTTATCAAGTTCTGTATCTATAAATCTAATATTGTAAATATGGTCAGATTTGTTTGTTTGTCATATGAAAATGTATGAGTAACATTAATATTGCCTACTTTATTTTCCAAAATCGTATTATAATTCTGTGACAGTAATATTTATATATTATTGTTGTAATGTTATTACAGTTATTAAAATTTCCACAAAAAATAATTCATATATTTACATTATTTCTTTAATATTCCTTTTCATAGCAACATCTAATGAAACTGTGATGTTTAGTTCTCCCATCAGAATCTCGGTCAATGAAAACTAATCAATTCTAATTGAGAAGGCATTCACAGAGGAATTTATACTGCAATTGAATGTCTATGCACTGTGACTCATTTGAATAAATATGTCAGTGGTGATGATAGCTAATAATAGCACTTATCACAATTACATAAGGCATTATATGCATCTGTAACCTTGCCTTTGCATAGAAGACTCTTTCTTTAAATTGAATAAATAATTACCAAATTAAATAAACATGAGGTTAAAAAAAGACTCACAACATGGCTTCTAAAACAGAATTACGAAGACACTGAGAAATTATTACCCAACAATGAGTAACATACCACACTAACACACAACACACAACTTATTCATAACACCCATAACATTCACTCACTCATTCTAAATCTATTATTACTTGTTTATGTCATAAATAAAATATCTATAACATGTATATGGTTGCATGCTCTTTTTGTTTCTAGTTTTTTTTTTACTTTTGGTCTACTAGCCTTACGTAAGCTTTTGTTTATTTATTTTTTACGGTCGAACACTGACTTCCAACATACAGGTCTGCCTAGTTTGGAAATCAGGGTTGAATAATTAATTTGCACTACCACTTCTGTACCTTAGTTTTACACAAAGTAATGTACAAATCCATTGGTGTTCAATAAAGAATTATTATTATTATTATTATTATTATTATTATTATTTAAATTGAATAAATAAGAGATAAGATATAGTTTCACTGGGACATTAACTTGCATGTTTATTTTGGACATGAATAAGTTCTTAACTGACTAGAAATTTTGTGAAGCAGTGTATGTATCCCTCATAGTCATTACTATCTATTATAGTCTCTATTTCCCTAAAAGGCTAATAATCTAAGTCTGTGACATAAGTTATCACATTTGTTTCAGCAGTTTACGAGAAAGATACACAAACATATTTATGCATGTATAATAAGTGGTAGAATTAAATAAATTGTGGGTTTATGTAAGTGTCTACTTACCATTTGTACTGGTTGGTGTTGTGGGCTCACTTTCTCCATATGCTGTCTGTGTCCAAGCTGGAAACAGTTACATTCTTTACTTATTTTGTATTACATAGACTGATCAATCCCCAAGCTATTACCATTACTGGTAACCAATCTGCACTAACTCGATTATTATAGACCTTATTTCCAATGTTTAGAGGCTACTTTTGTAGGAACAAATTTTGGGGATTTACATCAGGTGATTGTGTACAAGTTAAAATCATAGAACTAGATAATAAAACTATATGATTGCAGGTTCCTTGAGTTCTTTGAGACCAAATAATTTATGGGCTGGTCCTGTTTAATGTCCTATGCAATTACAATAAGATTAAAGGCCAGCTTTTGACTAAGTTTCTGTTAGTTTTTTAGAGTTTAACTAACAGATAATTTGATGTAATATTCATATTATATAATGTGTCTAGATGTTTTTAAGCTAACAGCAATTAAGTAATCACATTATTAGGTACAGTATTAGGTGTTTTGGTTTAAGTCTATGAAATTGTTAGTAATGTTATGAAATCAAAAAAATGTTTCGAGTTCACAATTTAAAGGTTTTATTTGATAAGGAAGAAATGAGAAATTGTTGCAAAATATCTAAAAAAGTGAAATCTTTATAACTAACCAAGTCCTACAAAAGAAAAAAAAATCTTTTTTAAAAATATAGTTCTATGTATGTATGAAAACTTACTTTCACTGATAAATCTGATAATTTCCTCATGTTGCGGCGTAATCACATGGTGCTGTATTCTTTGGTGTATTGTCTTTTTACCATTGGAATGAAAAATAGGCTTAGGCATGCTGGAACACAGACAAATCCAATAAGAATATTGTTGGAAGTTTACAGAAAGCATAAATACATTCTAAGATACGTCTGCTAATATAATATATTATAGTTTTACTGTATTTATCAAATCTTTATCAAGTTAAAATCTTCGGCCTAAGAGGTTATGTAAAAACAGTGATGAAATACCATTAAAGTTTTTAAGCTCTCAAATGCATCACTTACTTGATAATTTCTCCATTATCAGATTCTGATGACTTCCTATTGTGATCTTTACGGCTGTCCAATCTTTCTAAGTTCTGTGAGAGGCCTGCAAACGAAATTATAGATTCGATATTTTCATCTCACATGATCACTGACAAGCTCGAACTTCATTTTCAAACTAAATTATATTATAATACGATAGCTACCTCTTCGAGTTTTCGCTACAATTTTGCTGGGTCCCTTAGAAACAGTATACATTTTAAAATTCACTCAGAAATTAAAAAAATAAACGTAAAAATCACACACGAAATTACGAGACCAACTTTAAACAGCAAGTTGCAATATAGATAAATAAAAAAGGATACTATTGTCATTTTGATGTGCTTAAATTATGATTAGATTTTCTTTTTCTGCCGAATCTTTAAATAGTTACTATTACGTAAAATTTATATTTTTCTGCACGATTACCTATTTTATAGAACTAAGAAATTGGGTTTATTTAAAAATCAAGTATTCTTAAGTGTATGCAGTAGGTTTAAAATCTTTTATATAGCAACATTCGCAGTACTAATGTCATTTTGAGGTTGTAGTATTATACTCGAATAGCACGAGATGGCGTTACCATTAATATCAAGAAAACTATTATTTTAGGAAATGGTTCTGATGGACGGGTGTTTACTGCCTACGCTAGGGAGGGCTAGGCTTTCTTTTTTATTATTATATACGTTATCCTTCCAGAAACAATAATTATTTCTAAAAAGATTATAAATTAATGATTAAGGTACTATAACTTGAGCCAAAATTTTATTTAGGTACCTGACTGTACCAAGTACCAAGCACCTTTAGTCTTTGCTTTTCAGTTGCTTGTCTGGTGTTTGATTTGTCTGAACAAATTGGTGCTGTTCTACAAAAGCCTTTATTTTAAAACGGAAATTAAAATAAAATTCAACAAACAACAAATAGATTCCGGAATTACGTTACAAACAATTAAACACCGACACGATTCATTCACTCAGTTCTTAGGTACCTAAAGTAGAATGTTTGTCTAGGAAGCACCCTTACGTAAGGCCATATATCATGAAGGAAGCAAGCGTAGAATACAAACATGTTTCGATGTTTATTTATTGAAACGGTTAACACTCCATCAATCGCGACTCGCGAGTGAAGGAAGTTGGGTAGACATGCATGAAAATTAATAATGGCTTCCGTTGGCTATTTAGTTTTAACTGTGTTTAAAGAAGGAAGTAAGGTTTAAAACTAGTAAAAAACGGTCGTTTGAATTCATTGTTACCTAGTTTCGTTAGCAAGTTTGAGAACTTCGTACTGTTTTTGTAACCTAAGTATAAAATAGATGTATTAACAATAATCTAAACACTTTAGTCTGAGTAAATATGTATGTTATTTCTATCCTATTACCCGAATCTCTATCGGGAAATCAAATCCTAGAACCATAGCTCGGCAGTCGCAATACGACCACTCGAGACTCGACCAATGACGTAATCGTAATGGTAATAGTAGGTCCATAGATATATATTATTAAAAGAAGTGTCTTTAATAATAGGGACGATGACAGGATGTGAAAATTTTAAATCTAATTAGTCCGTAAGTTAGGTAATGAAAAAATATTAGACACGTATTTTTTATTTTGTCGTTTAATAAAACAATACCTACTTAGATAAAACGAATCAAAGTTTAGGAGTGGGTGCTAAAACGTCATTTCTACGTATAAAATGTACATAGAAGTGACGTCACGCGACATTTCAAATCAATATATCGTCGAAAGTATTCGTTTCTGTAAGAAAATAAAAAAGACGTGTCTATTGATTTAAAATAAGTAATCTACCGAACGGAAATTGAAATAAAAATTAGACATCTACCCTATTCTATGAGTACATCGGTCTTTTTGTAAATAAGCTTTCTTTCCTATATGCGTAGTAGGTAGGTAGGTACTTTTTTATGAGTGAAAACCATTCAATGACTTTTCCCGCCTTGGATGAGGCGAGAGGGAGTGTCAGACTCTTACTGACTAAAAAGCACCTGTTCCTACTCCTGCAGTTCGAGCCGGAGCCCCGGCAACCGGATAAGTCGTACAGCGGCTCCGCAACGGGCATCAGGCCTACTGAACCCCATCTGAGGTGGTCTGATGGCTCCGTGGGGTGCGGTAGTACTTAAATACTATCGTGACTCCCTGGAGAGAAGACTTGTAAAGTTGTAATTAACATTGTAAACGAAAATAAACTGACATACACGTGATCTGAATAATACAATACATGTTTGTATGCAGGTAAGTACGTTCGTACAGTCATCTAGACTTTCACCAAAACTTTCTCTTTGTAAGTTAAGTGATTGCAATTGTGTCTGTGTGTCGTACTGAGAGCTTATCTTCATTAACTGACTTAAAAAGAGGTAGAATGATTTGAGTTTTACTTATATCGAGTGACCTCCATAATATTGGGTTGTATTTTTTATTTTTTAAATTATTAGGCCAGTGATTTTGTAGATAATATTGATGAAATTGTGTGAAGTCTGGAATCGTGTCTGGCTGCAAATTGGTGGTAGGTTCACAACCATTATAACCATTTTTACCAAGACAGTTACTCATGTCCCTGGGACACGCAGGACTTCAGTGTTCCGGTGTTTTCATGGTTGTATCTACTGTAGATCCTGGTTTACACGAGTTGCAGCGGTTTTGAGAGATTGTGTTTTTTTTACTTGAGTACCTACACTTACTTATTATATCTAGAGATAATGTATGTAGGTACCTAGTTATGTTTTTTTTGTGCACAGTACCGTATATACCATAAGGGCGCTCGGGGCCCGTGGCTAGGGCCCTCATCCTCAGGGGCCCCGAAGGATCTACACAGACACCCGCTACAAATTGTGCAGCAACCGGCTTCGATTTCTGCACAGAGCAAATTTTTGTGTGATATACCGCACCCACGATACAGGAGACAATGCTAGTGTGGTGTAACGTTAAGAAAAAGAAACATTCCAAAAATTTCGCTAGTGTTGCGACTCTAGAGTACGAAATTTCACAATACCAATGTCGATCGATCGGAATTGGATTCAAGAATAAGCCCCATGGTCGTACATCCAGTTTCAGGCCATTCTACAAAATGCACTAGGCTAGGTTGAGATTACTGATTGTTATACCTACATATATTCAAACTATGTATTTGCATGCTCTTATCGCCGTTACACAAATGTAGCCGTTGTGCCCTAGTTCCTGCCGATATTATGCTAACTGCCTCATGTGGCGGATTTAACGATGTTTTAATATGCCCATAATGGCGAGTGACTGTTAGCTGTTAGGGGGCCATGTACGATTACTAGTACATAGGTAGGTACTTATGTAGGTATTGGTTTGGTGTACGTTTCGATTTTAAACTGTCAAACACCAAGCGGTCACCGGTGACCGCAACCTATTGTTCTATAATTGTGTCTACAAAACCGGTACTCGACGAGTTAAAATAGGTAGTAGCCTTTATAATAATAGTAAGGAAGGGTTGTGTTCGTGTGCCATCGATATCTAAAAGCCTTTCTTCCTGCATTCTGCCTCCTTGACGTGAGAAGAGACAACTAATAAGTGAGTGATTGTAAAATGCAAATTCTCACATCTGCTTTTAACAAATAAACACCAAAAAGACGCTATGGTGAAAGTAGCTACCAATATTATCAAACAGTCAATAAACCTAAGCACGTTGCTCATGTGTTATGCACCTGCTACGCACTCGACGAGTGGTATGGGTAGTAACGAGGGAAGGAGAGTCTTAAGAGTGAAAGATCCATGCTTCGGCACGAATGGGCCGGATCGACCGGAGTGATACCACGGCCTCATAGAAAACCGACGTGAAACAACGCATACGTTGTGTTTCCTCGTTTGAGGTTACCGGAGGCCCAGTTACCCTTCTCCCTAGTCTCCCGAATCACCGAATCCTAGAGGCCGATCCCCAAATCCCGATAAAAAAGAAGGCAGAGACATAGTGTGGCAATCAGTGGCAACATTAGTCGTCATGCCACACGTCATGCTCCTCGTCCTGCTCACTGCTCCCTCTTTTGTCGATTTTTGCGCGCGAGTCAAAGGACCGGCAATACGAAGAGGCAACGAGGACCAGCATGTCAATAGGAACGTCGCTATTAATTGCACGAGTAGAACAGTGTGTGGACTGTGGACAGAGAGGGCGGCAAATCACGGCAGGCGCAAGGAGCATAGTCTGGCTGGCGCATTAGAATCCCGAAGTAACGTGAAACTGATCGAGATATTTTCAGTGTATTTGCTATATGCATAATATATACATGAGTAGACTGTTACCTAAATTTTATCTAGTTACCTAAATTCAATTAATTTAACAAAATATGCATGAGTCTAAGTGCTAAATTAGTACCTACACGTAATCTAGAAATGGGTCACATTTATGGTAATATAATCAGTAACTCATTACAGTTCATTCTGTTATCAGGAGTGTTGGTACAAACGTAATCAGGGCATATTTTAAGTCATTGACATACATTTCAAATGTATGCATAATAACCTATTCGTAAACATTATGTTATGTCTGTTCTGTAAATATATTACATTTACTTATCTAATAAGTGTATCTGGAATTGTGCCCGGTATATGGCAATAGGCTCACCCCCTATTACATGGGACTCATAACATAAATAGTGAAAAGTGGGTGTCCTGCCCCTTCGGGGATAAAAGGCGTGATGTTATGTTATCTAATAACTAGCTCTGCAACAGCAACTTCAGTCAGCAACTCTTCCGCGGTTTCATCCGCTCTGCTCGGCACTTATTTATCATAGCGTGATGTTTCATAGCCTATAACCTACCTTAATACATTGACTATTCAACACAGAAAGAATTATTCAATTTGATCTAGTAGTTCCGGAGATATGTAAGCGCGTTCAAACAAACAAGCAAACAAAAACAACAAAGTCTTCAGTAAAATATATTTAAAAAAAGTATTAGTATAAGATAAAGCTATGCTATATGCATAATATATGTGACTGTGTTATTATTAACGTCTTTTTTTTTTAAGGGGGGAAAATCATCGAATGACTGCTCCCGCCTGGGTGAGGCGAGAGGGAGTGTCAGACTCTTACTGACTAAAAACCACCCCGTTCCTTTTCCTGCACGTCGAGCCGGAGCCCCGGTTACCCGTTAGGTTCTCCGCGACTCAGAATCGGCATCGGCCCTATTGGGCCCCATCTGTGGTGGATTATTAACGTCTAAGTTTATTCGGTATTTCGTCTCAGAGGGAGTCAGCTGGACAATATTGTATACAACTGCTCAACAAGCAGTACAAACCTGTTAGCAATTAAATTTATTTATCAGTAACTAACTTTCATCAAAACTGTAATTATAGGTACTTAGATCTTACTTTTAATCACTAAACAAATTGCAGCAAGCTCAATATTTCTTTAAAGTCGTCACTAGAACGAGTACGAAACCAGTTTTGCACTCACACAGGTATTTTGAAGATACCTGACTATACGAACTAAGAAAATAAATATTAAAATACAAGTTCTTGTATGTCAGAGTTCTACGAACTTAAATCTAGTCGGCTAGGTCTTAAGATTATTATTGCGATTACGATATATTAAGTATTAAATGCTCTTGAGAGCAAAGAAACGGCTCGGCTCGGCTTGCTGTGTGTGTTTTTCTTTTTTATTTAATTTCTGATACAAAATATAACATCACGCCTTTTATCCCCGAAGGGGTAGGCAGAGGTGCACACAGAAGTAACAACACCCACTGTTCACTTGTCCCATGTAATTAATGTTTATTTATTAATTGGTAACATAGGTATATAACGCTTGATGTAATTGGCAATTTTGTTACTTTTAAAATATAAGAGCATTTTGTTGTAATAGGGAATATTTTTTGTTTACGTTATAGAGGGTTTGATAATATGAAAAAATCGCTAGTGGCTCCGTTTCTTTGCTTCCAAGTGTTTAATACTAAATTTTTGTCCTTCGATGGGTTTCGATTACACTATTATCAATATCTCCAGAAAGACTAGTCCCACAGTACTTAATCGTCATTACAGACTTTATATGGTTCAATAGTTTCCGTGACAAGAGTTTAACCCTTGCAAGGTGATAAAACACACAAATTAAGCTGACGATGAAACGTTATTGTAAGAACAGCTTAGGGAATAAGATCTGCCTCCTTAGCCTACTGACATCTCCAAACAAAAAGAGAATCAGTGCACAGTCCCAGAAGAAAATGACAAGTTGTCGACGATCGTTGTTGAGAATATTTAAAGCGAGCTCGTCTGCGTAGAATATGATTCCTATTTTATTCCATGGGAGCATTTATTCGGGAAATAAATCCTATCACCTAAGTCAGTCCATATCCTGTATGTAATTACCTGTAGGTGTACATACTATATACCAAATTTCATCAAAATCCAAACAGTACTTTCAGCGTGATTGACGGACATTCAAAACAAAGAAATTTTCACATTTATAATATTAGTTGATTGTATAAGTAGTAGCGCAAAAGGCTCTGTCTATATTGGGTTAATCGTTTAAAAAGACCCATAGATAAGAATGACCTACAACGACGTATGCGTGTACTTAATTTAATTTGCTAATTGTTTATGTGATTAGGGTCAGTGCTGTTTTAGTACAATCTTGGCACTTAACCTCTAATTTATCTAAGCAACACATTCACTGAAATAATGGCCTGGTGGGACAGTTCTACTAATAAGAACAGTTTAACATAGATACATGGCCCACGACAATCAGCTGGACACAGCTAAACGGCAGCTTCTTCTGCGGAAGTGTGGGAGAGCCATTGCCTCGGCACGAGTGCCTTTAATGGGACGGTTCGACCGGAGTGAAACCACGGCCTCATAGAAAACCGACGTGAAACAATACTTGCGTTGTGTTTCGTCGTGTGAGTAAAGTTACCAGAGGCCCAATTAGGTACTAATTCTAATGCCCAAAAGGCCGCTAACGCATTTGTAACGAATTTAATACAATTTTCATCACGCAGCATTTTCTTCTTGGCAGATAGATTGGAGACCGCAGTTTAAAGGTCCAATTTTATCATAGACCGCTATATCTAGGTACGTACTTAGTGGTGACAAAGTATTCAACTTACCGTTTATTCCATAAAAATGCACTAGGTACAAAAAAGATAAAATCTTAACCTTTGTTGCAGCTGTAGAAATGAACAATGGCGTAGTGTTTCGCACCATAACTACACCGTGCCACAGCTAACGGGATTGAAGTCAAATGAGGTCAGTTAATATCACAACTCTGTACCAACGGGTCGGATGCATCTAGAGGCCAAACTTATTAATATTATCATCAGTTACATCAAGGAGCTCTTAATAGGAGCATATGATACAAGAATGGGTACTTTTATATCTTTAGTGGCAATCAGAATAAAGAATGCTGAAGATAAATCACAATTTTAAAAGATTTTGTAAAGCGACGAGACAATGTAACATATCATATAATAAGCGCTTTTTTAATTAAAGTGTATATATATAATATACATAAAATATATAATATCATGTATGTAATTTGTAATATATTCATATTACTTAGTATATTATCTCGGTACTGAGGAAAGTTCAGGGACCAGGTTCAAAGTATTTTGCAATAATAACACGTTATTAATAAAGAGTGTTATCAACTGTTCCTAGCCGATATATATTTAGAAGAAACTCCATAGCAGAAAATCTTTCTACCTTTAAACAATGATAGAAGAGAAGAACATTCTTTGGAGTTTTATTATGATGGGAGCAAGAAATTCATTAACTCACTATAAAGACCAAGAGAGAGAAACTGTAGAATAAATTCTTCAGGATTATTTATAGGAAGTCAAGTACCTACCTACATAAAGGTATGTAGTGGTTGATTGAAATATAGAACATCGACAATGGACTTGCAATTTCTTGATGAAGAACAATCATCACAGGAGCGCGCCATATAAATTCATTACAACATACCTACATACCAAAACAAGTTCATTATTTTAAAAATAAGTATGAAGTGTCATCACAATAACTGTTATGGTTTTGTCAATTTATTCTAAACAAAATAATGACCTAATAATTAAATCCGGTCCACATTCGAAACATCCTGTACATAAAAGAAAAGAAAATAAACCTTTTAACAAAAATAATATTCTGCCCACAAAATACCATGATTTATATATTAGAACGAACAAGAGTGTTGTTTTTTTGGAAACTAGTTCAACAATAGGAGAATTTAATTTAAAAATACAACAATATTTTTAAACTATTATGACACAGTTTTTGAGGAGTGTGTGTGTGACAGAGTCTGTGTAACATGTAGGAGCTAGTTTGGCTTCGTTCATCGAGATTGACGTCACGGGAACAAGGGCTATTCGTGTACTCGAATATCCTATTAATAAGATCGAAGGTACCTGCACCTGTTTGATCCAGTTTACTGAGGAGTTCAAAGCGGGAGTGCGTAAAGGTCTTTCATTTCACGTAAACATCGAAATGATTAGTTTACATTGACGACGTTGGTATACGAAGCTCAATTGGTCTGAGACCATTAGTCCAATGTGTCTCGGTTTCGTTTACCTCGTAAATATTTGTCACGTGTGTTAGTTAGGACTGTTAAGAGATTTGTTATGATGGGTACTAAAGCTTAGTTAAGGTGTCTATTAAATGAGAGATGGTGACGTTTGGTAAAGGGCATGGGAATGGTACTTATGATGTATACAATCCAATTGCCATGAACGGCTTTTGACAATTGATAAATATGTGATTGATGTGAAAAAATCGGGTATTGGAACTGATTTAAGTGCCCACCTAATTAAAAGTAGGTACGTCTGTAGGTACCTCATCTATATTTGACAAAGAATCGAAGGGTCTTGGAACAAGGCTGTTCAATCGTTGTGCCAATTTAATTACCGGCTATATATTTCATCAGCAAAACGATATGGGAATTTCAGGGATTTTTTTCCAATTTGGCAACTATTCATTTGCCAAGACCGTTTGTTGTTGAATCGCTCAGTAATAAGTGCAACGCGAGTAAAATATGTGTCTATCACATTCACATAGCACATATCTAGTGCAAGAAACAAAGTTCAAGGCGGTAGAGAGATAAAGTGTATATCTCAAAAAGCAGTTCCTATTGAGCTGAAAGCAGTGGTCCCGCCAAAATGCTCAGTACTCGCGTAGTGTCCGCTCCGTCGAGTCGACCAATCAGAGCGGTTCGCGCCTTGCGCCCGCACGCGCGCGTTTATCAAAATGCGAATGGCTCCGGAGCGGCGGCGGCGGCATTAATTAATCTATAACAAAATAACTTATAGCCGTCCGTAATCGGCCACAGAGTCAAAGCACAAGCGACCTTCGCGCCGCGAACACATCCTGCGTGCATGCACTATAAAATAAAACACAACAAATACTTACAAAGTACACAATAAATAAAACAAAAACTTCGCGGTCCGGTTTAGTTAGTTCCCCGCGTTTGCTTCGTGTATAAAAGCGAAAAAGGAAAAGCAGAAATGTCCGCTTTGAATTTCAGTTACGTTTAAAACGTTTCGTGGAACATTGTGCTGTGTCAAGATAAATATATTTGGTGTTATTGAAAGCCAACCATGAATTATCTAAGTTAAAATAAGATAACATTATCTAGGTGAATGTAAAAGTGTCAGTGTTGTGAACTGGTTCGCGTTCTTAGTTTCTGGTTTGTGTATAAGTGACTATTGAATTATTTGCAACTTTCATTCGGAGCGTCCTCTCGATTAGCATACGAGTGAGTTACTTTGCATATATTTAATGCCACACGGTGCGCCTACACAGTTTGTGGGTCAATACACTTCGCCAATTATCTACAAAACTTGAGAATCGGAAAACGTTCGATTATTTTTTTCTGTTTACCCACTATTCTGTGGTCTTTTTTTAATACCATATTTAAACATAATAAGTTTGTTCAACTGGGTTATTAGCACAATCGTGTACAATTTGTTAGAAAGAATAAGAGAAAAATATGATAATTATATTGTAGTAGCTACGAACACGACCATTGCTGATAAATACAAGGTAATTATATACGGTGTAGTGACCGATACATAATATTTTCTGGACTTATCAATAACCGGGCTACGATAACTAAGATAAGAAGCGATTTTGTCGTCATACTTATGTATAATAAGTTTTAACAAGACTATTTAAAAGGTAGACGACTAATTTTTATTTTAATGTCCGTCTGGTAGATTATTTAAAAACATTAGACACGTATTTTTTATTTTCTTACGGAAACGAATAGTTTCGAAGATATATTGATTTGAAATGTCGCGTGACGTCACTTCTCAGTACATTTTATACTAAGGAATGACGTTTTAACCCCCACTCCTAAACTTTGATTCGTTTTATCTAAGTATTGTTTTATTATACAACAAAATAAAAAAATACGTGTCTAATATTTTTTTATTACCTAAGTTACGGACTAATTATATTTTTAATTTTCATACCCTGTCATCATCCCCATT